CGCTATGTTGAAAGAGAAGAGAAGATGGGTGCGGAGGGAGAGAGGAGTGAGGCTGCTACTGAAAATAAATTGGGTTTTAATTTGAATTTTAATTATTAATTGAATTAACACCTGATTTTTGATTAAATAAACATAACACCTGATTTTTGAAATTGAATACTTAAAAGCAGGGATCCAGGTAATTTTCTCATTAGATAATTGAAAATCAAAAGCACAAGATTCAAAGGGCAAATCGACCTAAGAAATTATTTTAACATCACGCGTGACAAAATAAGTGTAATACAATATATAAGGCGAACTTATCAAAATAGTCCTTTCGAAATATGGTTAGATCCAAAAATTATTAAAAATGTCATTTTCTTAGTCCAGTTTGATATTCAATACTTATAAAGTATTCATAATAGACTTCATTGCTAACGTTAGTCCAGATTTTTAATGTAGGAGCTGATGAAATGGTCCACTCAGTTTTGATTGACTCGGTTGCTACTCAATGCTAGATAGGTTTCATAAGAATTACACGCTCTCTTTATATAACCCTTACCCGATAAGGATTAAAATGAACATTTTAATATATTTTGATAAAAGTTGATAAAATAAGTGGTTAAAAAATTGTGAGTACTATGTAATATGAGATTAAAATTAATTATTGACTTTGATTTTAATTAAAATCTAGATTAATCTAATCCGTACCAAACTTAGGAAAACTAAAATGATTGTGAATGACAATAAATTTTGGTATCGTGATTATTTACTTCCACTCGGGAATTAGTTTAGTAAGATGTATTCAAGGGCGGATCTAGGGTATTTTTGCGAGAAACAATATACTGTAAAAATCATTATGAAAAATCGATACAATAAGGAGCAAAATCATATATACACTATCGAACATGAAAAGGAAGTTAAAACAAGATTCATATTTATTAAACATGAACATAGAAATCATATTACTAACATTTTTACTCAAAACTAGGGATGGCAAAAAAACTCGACGGCTCGGACGGCTCGGCTCGGAAAAAGCCCGAGCCGGGCCTGGCTTGGGC